GATGTGCAGGGATCCAAATCTGAGGAGGAGATCGACAGGTGAGTATCCAAGTCTTGTAGTTTATGAGATACAGGTTGTAGATGAAACTTGCGTTTGCTTACTTCCAGTGACGAGACGAGAGAGCTTGGGTCCAGATGGAACTGAACGTGTGGTGATGAATGGCACAGGTGAGTATTTACATTAGAAGGCGTTGGAGGCAGAGAGGCAGGAGATCCAGGTGACACTGAGGCTTCCAGGTCTTTTCCACAGGTAGTACTCAGGGTGGGGCTCAGGAGGATTTCACTATAGGACAAGAAACACAAGTTAACTAAGTTAAGCTCAAGAGATTATTTCACAGGCCGAGAAACGTTACCAAAAGTAGACGTTGCTTCAGCGTTGAGGAGATGTCTGCAACTGCCTTTTAAAGGGTGGAAGATGAGAACCATCACAGGTGGAGCTGATAATCAATCAGCAGATGGCAGCAGACAATTAAGGTGTAGAGGCAGGAATGCCTCAATTTTAAGATAAAATTCAGTTTAAAGACTAGTTTTCACTGTTTTACCTTGATATATTTTTTTCCTCATCTTCCCTTGTGTGGTTTTTAGTTTTTCTGTTGTTAAAGGCAGCACAACTGTGTTTGCTGCAAGACCGGTTTCACCTGTTCCCCCATGCTTGTCTTGTATGTCTTCTTGAATGGGTGTTTCTTAACTGCCCCCTCCCACCTTCCCTGAATGTACAGCACCTTGTGAATTTATTTCTGTGAAAGGCGCTATATAAATAAAACTTTACTTACTTTACTTTAATAGGTTTAGGTTGTTTTATGATCCCTATTAATTTAGTAAAATGGAAAATGCACAGTTTTGAGTTTTGAAAGAAAAACAGCCTTCTGAGATTCTGTTTCAATTTCAATATATAGTTGTTAACTGTTTTAATTGGACAAAACTACCTTGTATTTGAATGTATGTAAACTGGCAGTGAGATTTAGGATATCTGCTGGGGGCTAAACCCTCCAAAGCTCAGATCCTAGAACTGCCCCCGCCTCCCTCGGCTCATATCCATGGTTTGGATCAGGTCAGTTATGATTGAAGGAGGAGCAGAACAGTAAATGTCAAAAATATTCAACTTAACCCTGATTTACTTCTTTGTAATTGAGACCGTCATGAATTAATGAGACTTTATTGTTACCACGGAAAAGTCCTTGATGTCGATGTTCCAGTAAGTTTTGAAAATGGGATGTGACTTTCTGTTCGAGAGCAGCAGAATGAATCTTCATCATCTTTGGATTTTTTTACATGAAGGACATCATCTGATCCACCAGGGGGGCAGAGCGAGCTGGCTCCGAATTACTATAAATAATGTACGCTGGATGGCTTTGTCGTCAAACTGCCGTTAATCAGAGCAGATGGACAGCCGGTGAAGTTGTATATCTGATGGTTACATATCTCTGGAGAGGCATTAGTGGTTTATGGCTGTGGGGGGCGAGTGATATTTGTCTGGGCTGATGAAGCGGGCCAGTAAATCAGGAGTGAGTCCTGGCTCACAGCACCGACTCCGCGAACAGGAAGGGCAATCCGAGCTCTTTCAGCTACATAATTAAACTCTGCTGGTCTGAGATGAAACACTTCAGTGGAATACTTCACGTAATAGAAAGTCATTGGAAAATCATGGAGTGATACGGAGAGTGTAGTGAACAGTCCTGGTGATCTTTCCACAGGAAGAAAATGAATTAGGTTAGGTGCTCAATGCAAACATTTCTCAGCATGTGTTGTAATGCTGTGGTTGCACCTGCTCTGCAGGTACAGTATGTTTACCTGTGTTGGTGTGTGTGTGGCCTAGAGTTGTGTGTCAGCAGAAGACTTGACCTGCTCTAAGCAAATGGCCTGGAAAGACCGTAATGATTCCCTTCTTCTGTTACAGAGCCGATCTCTCTTTGTTCTGTCATGCTATTTTATTTTTCCAGTTTCTTTTTTTTACTTTAAAGTGTTCTGCTCTGTTTAGCAGCTTTATTTTCTCACCATGTCCTTTTTATACAGGAGGTAGAGGTGTTGTGGTGGGACCTATCATCAGTCAAACTCTGTCTGACATCTTCTGCGACAATGAATACGGGTCGAACTTCTTGTTTAAGAACAATGGAGACGGGACTTTTACTGACTTGGCGCAGCAGGCCGGTAAAGACACGTGGAACTTAGGAGATCCTTGTTTTGCACATTCTTGATGTAGCTTATAAATCTTGTGAAGAAACAACAAGGTTGGTTTTAGTGAAAAAAACGAAAACAAAACAACAACATTCTATTGTGTTATTTTAGGTGTGGAAGACCCCATGCAGCACGGCAGAGGGGTGGCTCTGGGGGATTTTAACCGTGACGGCAGGACTGACATTGTCTATGGAAACTGGAACGGACCTCATCGTCTGTACATACAGCTGAACAACCGCAAACAGAAATTCAAGGTGGGCAAAAAAACTAGGTTTTATCAGCTGGAATATTCTAAAAGCATGTTTTAGGCTGGTACTAGCCTTAAGCTTTAAAATGTTGTCACAGTGCTTAATATTAAGAGACCATTAAGTTTGTTTCAATAACTGAGTCAGAATAATTAAATAAAATATTAATGATGACTGAATTCTAAATTGAGCCTCTGCAAGTAATCACATGAAACACAAAATCAACTGTTTGCTTTTTAATTATACTGCTCAAGAAATAATATTTAAATTCAGTGAAGAATTCAACCTGAAAAATTGCTTTCAAACTTAATATTTTTCCCTTTTTTTTTCAAACATTTTGTTCTGAAAACACTGGCCTTGATTGCTTTTTTTTAATTGCTGATTTTTAAAATCCAGAAAAATCGGTTCAATCAGAAAACATAGCTTTATAACATGATGATTTCTAGCTTTATAACATGATGATTTCTTTATCTAATAAATCACTAATTGCTAACTGTTGTGTCATATACATTTATGTTTAAAGCAGGGTGTTTGCAGTTAACAATGTCTAATGAGAAAGCAGCCCTAAAACAACAAATCTTGTTCATTATCACCGGAAATCACCTTCTTATCAGTCCCAACAATTGGCTAATGAATTAGCGCCACTCACATGGCCCGCTTTGGGTTTAAGTGGTATTTAAAGACACATGGGTGGTGATTTATTCACTTAATGACTCTGCAGACAACTCCTGCGAGGCAGCCAGCCGTCTGCATGTGCTGTGCTTTACCGCAGACAGAGATGAGCTGCGCTACGCATAAATCGGCGGCAGCTTCGTGCTCTGGGATCCACCTGTCACTGCCTTTATAGAAGAGATAAACGTCACAGGAGTCTGTTTTTCTACAGGGGTCAAATAAAGGGTTAATGTGTGACACTCTGTGCAGAGGCATCTCCAACAGAGTGACACACATGCAGCTTCGCGTACACATGTCTGCTGCAGACGTAGCAGGGCCTTGTTTTTAACCGAGCTCCTAAATCACAGTCCTACAACATATTTAAGAGCCCTTTCACCCACACACGCTGACACCTCCAATAATAATCCAATGTTGGCCTTTGGCATGCATAATGAAGCTGTTGTATCACTTCAGTAAACCACCAATTAAATCGGGCTGAGCCAGCAGCTTGCCCTGGTGGTGGAAAGTGCAGATTAGGCCTGTTTATGCTTTAATTAAAATCTATTGAGAAGGTTTGCCTCGCTGTAGCGGTAACGCACACACAGACACACGTGTTCGCACCGTCTCACACTCCCTCGTGGAATATCGATTTAAATTTGTGGAGAAAGTTGAAGAAGTTTGCTTGTTTAATTTAATATTATGGAATTGAAATTGAAGTAAAACTCATTAATTATAAAGTGATGTTGAGGAAAATTTTCTTCACAGTTTTAAAGGGGAAATATTATGTGTTTCTCAGGCATACATTTGAATACTATACCATAATAAAGTATTTATGTCACCTTTAGTTGTTATTAAAATGCTGTTTTTATGTTTAAATAGAAAATAAACTTATCTTCTCATCACTTACTCTTCTAAACGCCTTGAAATTGGCCTCTGTCTCTTTAAGAACCACCTTCCGCTTCTGTCTCGTCCCATTTCAGTGTGTGTGTGTGTGTGTGTGTGGGGGGGGGGGGGGGGGATCGCGTGAGTGCTACTGTATGATACAGTTTACTTGGCATCTGAAAATACATTTCCTCAAAGGTATTTTGAATCTGAAAAGAGCTTCACTGAGTGAGAAGTAGTGTTAAGAGCAGCAGACAGTTTAAGTTTCACTTTCACTTTGCTCTCTTACTGCTGAGAGCCTGCAGGAGTCATGGGCGGGGTATGTGGGGTGGAGGGTGGGGAGGTGCGCTCCGTGATGAGGAAGTTTGGCTTAAAGACACGTCCCAGAGGTGTTTCTGGTACCAAAAGGTGTTTCTGGTCCCCACCTGTCGTTTTGCTCCTCAGCATGGCTGCCTAAAAACGCTGCAGGATTTCTCAAACATGGATGGATGAGTCAAAGCAAGGCTTTGGGCATGTTTTTTTTATGAGAGTATAACATTATAACATGATATAAAACTCAAAAAAAGTTGATTTTACATGATATTGCCCCTTTAAATACTTTTGTGTATTTGTTTAAAAACCATTGCCACAAAATGTGATTTTCTTACAACATTTTAAAGGACATTGTTGTGACCAAATGCAAATCTTACCTTTCCATGCACAGAGTTGGTTTTGCTGAGAGCTCCTTACTTTTAATGCCACATAAACTTAACTAGTTGATATGTGGAGCTGCTCGTGCCCTTTTACCTCGAGGCCTCGGACGGCCGTCCCCTCTCCTTCACCTGAGAGGGAGAATGTCATTGTGGGCGGCCCTTACCTCCGCAGCTTTATGAGCCTTATAATTAAAACGGGGAAGTAAATACTGGGGGAGTGAAGGGCTGCTCTATAACTCTCTCCAGACTTATCACAGTCTCACTGAAGCGAGGAGATATCTGTTACTTTCACATGCAAAAACTCAGCTGCTGGAGAGTTTTTTTATTTATTTATTTATTCCGGTGAGCTCGGAAAAGGATGAAGCTTCTGTCTTTTCTGTGTCAGTAAAAGTAAAAAAGAACAATATCTCATGGATTTAAGGTTTCGTCATTATCCAGAGCCGTCTAACTCAAGGACTTGTTGATGACTGACAAGTTTATTTTCTGGAAAGACTAAAAATGTGACCTTAAGGTTATGGGATGGCCTCTCCAGCCTTTAGATAACAGCAGGTTGTAGAAAGTAAACTTCAAATAGTCGCCGTTCTTCTGCGGGTACACAAGTTTTTAGTCCTCTTTTCAGTTGGACAGTGTTCTGTTCTTGACCAAGCAAAAGCTGAAAGGGGACATATGCAAAATTCACTTTTTTAGCTGCTAAATGCATTTTGTTGTACTAAGTGTGCAGAAAATTAGAATTTAGTCTCTCCTGGTGCTGCGTAAATCTTATTACTGTTTGGTCAATATTTTTGAACTCGTTCAGTTTTCTCTTTTTTCTATGATGTTTTCTGAACTATTGCGTTACAGTTTTTGTGACTGGACTAAAAAATAAGGTCTGGACTCAGCAACTACAATTCTTGTCTTCATTCTCCTCTGGCTCTGGGTCAGAATCTGGCTTCAACATATAAGGCTGGATGGACAAGGCTTCCCTTGCTGACATCTTTTAATTCACTTGTAAATAAAGGTTTTTGCACCAATAAATAGTTGTAAACCCCTCTATCAAGCTGCAATAGACCACTCTGGAATGGGGTGGGGGTGGGGTGAAACTCCTCGTTTTGGGTTTAAAGAGACCGCCTCAAAACACGTTGATCCGAGTCACACATCAGAAATGGGGTGAAAGAGGGGCTTGTGGCTATTATATTATAATAGGAGGAATTCAGACCAAAGCATTGCAGTTCCACTTTATATACACCCCAATGAATGATTTAAATGTGAAAAGGATTTAAAAGCATGATATGTCTCCTTTTAAGAACTGTCCTTAGAATAAGCCATTTAAATCTACAGAGACACATTCTCTGCTAACAGTTTTAGACCAGACAAGCCAGAGTTTCAAAATAAAATAACTTTTCAGTGGAGGTAAGTTTTCTGACTGTTCCTTTGTTCTTCAGGACATCGCCTCTCAGAAGTTTTCCATGCCGTCCCCAGTCAGAACTGTTATTGCTGCAGACTTTGATAATGACAACGAGCTGGAGGTCTTCTTCAATAACATCGCCTACAGGGGACCCTCGGCCAACAGGCTCTTTAGGTACCGACAGAATTAGCATGTTACATCAGTGGTTCCTAATTGCTTCTGCCGTCAACGCACAAAATACACTGATTTGAGATTTATACACTAACCAGGAGCAGAATGTGTTTGATTATTAACCTTGTTGGCCTGAAAATTCTTCCTATTTCAAGACGTCTTGTCTTACTACACTAGCAGATTATTTCACTTCATTTGGGAAGATTTAGACTATATTTAATTTTTTCTTAAACTTAGTTTTTTTTTCAATATAACAGGAGCAGAGACTTGTGACCCCAACTATTTTTTGTAAACATAAACACAATTAACCTAATTAAATAAGAGCACATCAACTCATGTAGCCTTAACAAACCATTTGTATTCAGTTTTAACGGCTATTTTTGTCTTTCAAATATAAAAAATATGCAGCATTTAATTTATTTTATTTAATCTGATTACCAATAATCATCTCAAGACATTCTACTTGCATTTCTTGACCCACATTAAAGTCCTGACCCCAACTTTGGGATCTAGTGTGATACATAACCACTTGTACAAACTTCAAAGGCAGGTTTGTTGCAAGTAAGTTTAAATACATTTTTTTGATAAAGTTAATAGACTGCTCTTGTCTTTTTATTTAATATTCTGACGCAGAAATTGGAAGCTAAAGAGAATTTAAAATTTCCTGCAAAAGGATACTTATCAAGTCTGGCGTCCCGCCTCCTTCTCCTCCACGCATGAATAAATCTTTCATTAAGACAGTTTTAGTTTTTTTTTCCCCTCTTTCTCATGTACGCTTTCCTTTCTGATAATATTAATTAACTCTGTGTGCAAAATGTCCAAATCACATTATCATTTTACTGATAGCAGAATGAACTTTTTCCTGTGCGAATTTTAAAAAAATCTGATCTGGCTAATTTGTCAAAATAGGATTCGGAGTTCAGTTCACACTGAGTATCAGTCATCAGTCCACGTGCCGAAGAATTTCTTGAACAAAATATTCTAGAACAAGTCACTGGTCCTACAAGGGTCACTACTTCACAGTCTGTGGCTCTGATATTGTCCGCTATAAAGATGAATGAACTCATTTATTCTGTGCTCTGGCGCTAAAAAAAAAAGAAAAGAAAAAAAAAGCAGGCTTGAACAAGCTAATTTGTCCAAAACATCAAATCAATATTTATCAGCGCTTTGGGATTTAGCAGCAAAAGTGATCACATTATGCACTAAAACACTGAGTAATTATAATTATGAAAATCTTGAAGTATACATGGTTTAGATAATGAAGTTACATGGCAGCTGTTTTCTTTTTCATGGTTTGTTTCAGTCAATTTTTTTAACTAACAATTTTTTTTTGTGTGGCTTTGGTATTGATTTAGAAATTCTGCTTTAACAGGGTGAGCAGGAGAGAACATGGAGACCCCCAGATAGAAGAGCTGAATATTGGGGAGGCTGCAGAGCCTGAAGGAAGAGGAACCGGTGATCAAATAATACGTTTGCTCAGCTACTGCATGTTTGTTATGCATCTCCACAGTATTTATAAAGTACCTCAAAGGGATACTTGAGTAAAAATAAAACTTACCATAAAATTACTTTGATGAAAGTTAAAGTCTTCTCTAAGAATATTACTTGTGTATAAGTCTTAAAGTATCTGACATCTATTGTAAATAAGTCTCAAAAGTAAATTTCTCAAATAAAATGTACTTAAGTATTAGATGTAAAAGTATTGAGTAAAAAAATAAGCGCTGGGATGTGTGAAAAGTGCAGCGTGTAGCAGAACAAGTATCATCTTTTACCTTTTAAATTAGTTTTTGTGCATTGAAACATAACTTTTCAATTTTCAAATGATTTGAAATCCATAAGTTTTATATATCTATCTATCTATCTATATATATATATATATATCTATCTATCTATCTAT